TCCCTAAGTTGCATGATTGCTGGAATTTTGAAAAAGAAAGTATTAGACAATGAAGGGAATTTCTTACAAAATTTCGATAATTAAATTACCTAATCGGTAGCTCTCTTCAAATCCCCGAAATTGTTTCAAGCTCCTTATCAGGCACGAGATGGGGTATCTACAAAAGAGCAAGTTAGTAAAATTGAGATATTGACATGGGCTGGGGCAAAAAAAAAAAGAGGGTCAGAGTTCTAGCAAAAAGAGGGGGAAAATTTTTGTTCAAATATCATATTTGGGTATCCTAATAGATGAGCAAAAAAAAACCAAAAAAAAAATGGTACGAAAACTGAGATTAAATTTTCAGCCCCAAGGAATAGCTCAAAATAATATTTTGAGCAAATCCTCATTCTCAAATAATATTTAAAGGGCATCTCAAATAATATTTTAGGTCAATCGTCATTCGGCCAATTTTTATCTTCCAGCCGAGACCCGAGCTTCATTCTCAAATGATATTTTGAGAATTTATTTGGTAAAGTCGTGGGGGCTGTAAGCATCTCAATTGACTAAAGTTTCTTGTAATAATTGAATATTGCAAGTAAAAAAAAAAAAAAGAGATGAAGCCGCAAGTACCTGCGGCAACTTGACGATGCAGCTGAAGAAACAAATAAAACTCGTTCAAGAGTTTGCGACCTAGGGATGGCTATTTGCAGGGAGGAGTTCGATGTGAATCCGAGCCAAAAAGGAAGTCTCCGTCTGTGGGAACGCGGGAAGTCGATTCCTCGTCGGGATGACTTTACTGAGCCGAAATGGATTTGTCAAGAGCCTCGTGGAAATCCGATGCTTGAATGCGATGTTTCAGCTGATGGGAGCAGATCAAATATGATGCTAAGTATTGGACTTGGGATAAATGGAAACCATGCCGCAAGATGATTAGAAGGCTATGTTATCCTATTGGTTTAGCACGTAATCTGTGTAAGATGCAAATTCCAAGTACCAATCACATTCGAGACATCAATGACACATCAACATAAGCATGCCAAGTCCAATGTCGAAGTTCCTTTTAGCAATTAAGTGTTAAAAAGTGAAGCCTCAGGTACTTAACAAACAAAAAAAAAAGAGGTATCGGCAGGATGCAAATAGCGGGTGGCATCAATTTGGAGAAAGCAACCGTCAAATATTTCTACACAACCATTCATAGTTCATCAGGTTTTATCTAAAGTACAAGGGGCAGACATAATTCATAATGGAAAGTTTCATGCGAGACCAACAAAGACAATAGTTCACATGGTACTTAGCATCTTGCATGGAAGATAAATGTAAAGCACATCGGGTCAGGCGTTCCGGCAACATTGACAAAGAAGATTTTGCCCCTGAATCTATCTATGCATTGACTACAAAATCCGCAATTGTTCCATGCAAAGTAGTAAAAAGAAAAAAAAAAAAAAGAAATGCAAGCAGGGTGGTAATAAGAGCATCAAGTCATTTATCGGTTAATCCGTATGGGTTCTACTATGTACTCAAGAGGTATATTAGATCACTGCATGAAAGTTGTTTCGGGTGGGATAATACGAGAGCACGCATGGTCATGGGTAATTTGAAAGCCCGAGGGATAGTTGTACATAGATAAAAAGGAAAAAAAATTTTTGAACTCTGGCAAGGAAGAAATTTATCCATAACTTGAGAAAAGTGGTGCGTACCTTGGAATAATAGCTCGGCAGCAGTGATGACTAACTTCAAGTTGATTCCATCGGTCGAAGAGGCCGGCAAAGCCAAGTAAACCAGCAAATAATAGATGGCGGCACTAGCAAATAAAGACGCAGCAGCACTCCAGTAACGCTAGCGAAAAAAAAAGATGAAGGAGAGTTCGCCTCTGGATTGTGGGTGAACTAATACCTCACCTCAACCATCGAATATATAAAGCAGGTGTGCGTCCCCTATTCAAGGAGGATTCTGGTCATAAGTGTTTTAGTTTGAGACAACAAAGGGCTCGTTATTTGCGGCTTAGCGGGTTAATTTGTCAAGCTGAGGAAGTTTACTTGCAAAGGAATCGGGTTCTTCTTGCTTGGTATAATGGGATGAAGAGAAAGGAAGGGATGCAGAGCTCTGACTCAAGTGGTTTTCGAAGAGAATTGTTCTTGCAATTGGTGTCCTTCGCGAGTTGGGTTCTTAGCGTTTGTGTAGTGCTCCTTGAAGGCCGAATGTGATAAGTGAAGAAATTAATTGCTTAGTTCATCAATGATGCAATCCTAACTTCAAGTGACCGAATACTACAAAGAATGGAATTGGTCTAAATAGCAAACATGAAGCTACTACGTAAGATCCGTCCTCGGGAAGTTGAGAGTACTAGTACATGCAATCATCATTCTATGTTATCAATTAAGAGCCATGACTAGTTTCAAAGAGCTTCATACATTGACGGCTTTGGACTTGGGGATTTGTAGAAAGGATTTCTACTACAAATTCAAAGAGGAAGGTGAGTTCAAGTGTAATTGGCTGTAATTGGCTTCCTAGTTCACCTAAATTGTCTAGGGAGTACCTTCGCTCTAGAGGTTTCTAGCAATTAAATCGGTTGGCAGGCTGATCATCTAAAAGAAAGTGGATTCTAAGCTGGTCTCGGGGCTTGCTCTTCCATAAGATTATAAGGGACAAAGCTTCAAATCAGGTTGGCCTTGGAAGGAATTATTTTCGCAACCAACTTCTATAGGCTGATTCATTCCTTGAAGTTGGATTACTCTTCAAGCCTCGGCTTTATCACAAAAAAAAAAACAAAAAGAAGAAGGAAAAAAAGGGAACTCGAATGTTTAAGTTCATCAAGGATACAAATCCTAGGCTTTCGACAAGAAGCTGACTGATTCGGACCTTGAACCGTGTGAAGCGGTGGAATTCATAATTGATCAAGGAACGATGCACTTATCTTATAATTGAAGTTGGAAACTTCTTAGGCCAATGAAAATGTGTCTTACATGTAAGGTGCACTAGTGCACTAGTGCTTGATCAATCATTCACGAGATTGAATTCTATGAAGTTTGATTAATCACTTATGTGCCTATTTGGTCATTGAAGTCTTTGTGCTCATTTGGTCATTGGTTAATCACTTATGCGGCTGGCTTCCTACTTAGGTGACTTGATTCACAAAGTTTCGAATTCCAATTTGGCAAGAAAGGAACTTAGGGGAATTAAAGAAAGTCAAAACTTGTCCATTCAAGTTGTGCCCTTCACAAACAAGTTTTGAGGGGGCATTTGTAGAGAATGAAATTTTAATTAAAATTCTAAAAATTACCATTGGTCTATTAAATATTTTCGTCCAATCGGATCATTAACACTTGAAAAAATTGATTATTAAATGGCAAATTATATTTCGCCACGTGTCAAGGCGAGGTGTTCCAGATCAATTTAAATTGCAGGGATATCTCCACCAACCAAATCATATCATGTCACATGTCTATTGGATAAATATCTAAATATTTATTTCTTATTAAAGGGATAATATTTAGAGTTATTTAATCCAAGTATATCTCGTATACACTGCAATAGCTTGGCCAATCAAACGGCACCACGTCGCGTGTCCCCACGAGTTTGGCCAATCGATAAATTACTTATCTCTTTATTAATAAATATAAAATAAAGAGATAATGTTTGACTGGTACAGTCCTAATATGACTGCACGTCTTGCAAGATAAGAAAAGTGATACACAGGTCTTCAGCCTTTACCTCTTGCTATAGCTATAAATAGGGGTCTCTCAATCAAATCACACACACACAGACAGAGACATACACAGATACACAGAGGGACTTCAAGAGGCACCTCATACACTCAAGTATTGAAGTTTCAAGCTACGAAGGGTTGGATCTTCAAGCTCTCCAAGTCTTTCGCATATCAAGGCTTGAGCCTCCAAATATTCTCAAATTCTTCAAATCTTCCATATCAAGATTTGAAAGAGTCAGTGGTGGATCCAAGAACAAGCTGCGAAGACCTTGGATTGGTGTTCGAGGAGAAGAATCGAAGGAAACTCTCCATAAGTTCGAGAAACTTCCAGAGATTGTACCCCCATATTTTTTCGAAATTTATATATCACATATTTGTCGTGTATTTCTTTTTCTTGTCGTTTTGCAGACTTGAAAAATTTTTATCGCGTACAGTTATAGTAACGAAGACATACCCGAACAAGCACACTATGTGGAGAAAGATGTAATAGTGGGAGCTTGGGATGTAGATTGGGGGAAATAGGGATATGGAAGCAGGGAAAGGGAGAGGATTGAAATGGAGAGACATGGAGAAAGGGTAAAGTATGGAGAGACATGGAGAAAGGGTAAAGTATGTCCCAGAAATGGGTTGGTGCGAGTTGTTCATTCCAAAGAGGGGGTATTTATAGAATGTTCTATCATATCCAACAGCTATAAAGCCATTGATCCAAATTTCTTTTATAGAGAAAAATACAGTTTTGGTATCCAATTTTGGTATCCAAAACATATGAGTGGTTTTAATCTCCAAATTTTGGACAAAAATAAATTTGATACCCAACTTTCAATTTTTTAACACATTTAGTATCTTGATAGTTTTTCTCAAATTGTTACTGAAAAAGTCACTTGATAATCACGTATTCAACAACGATGGATAGAAGAATGAAAGAAGGAATCATTCCTCCGAATAAAACAGTTAGTATACCTTGCCCCTAGCAGGATTGATTCTTCCCATGCATTCGTCAATACGAAAGAAATCATAAACTTCTAACAGGATAGCACAATTCCACAGTTCTATCGCTAAACAATTCCTGCAAGTATGCTGGATTCTCCCAAAACCTAGTTTGGGGGCTATAACAGCAGAGAGAGTATACTTGACTTTACGTTAACATAAGAGAATATTGAGTTTCATATATTTCTTTTCCAGAGTTGACAAACGAGTTAAAAGGAAACATTCGAACATTTCTTTCAGAAGCACCAAAAACTTACAACCTGATCAATTCATAAGCAAAGTTAAGGGAAATTTTCAATAGAGATTTGTGTGACATAAGAAATAGAAATGGCAAGGAAGAAAAATAGAAATACTGCATTAATTCCATTGGCCGGGAGCTACAGTCAAGACGTGCCAGTCAATTATTCAGTACTTAGGTTCTAAAGCCGCATACTATAAAATTCTAAATACTAAGTCAGATTTGAATCCATCAATCCAACCGCTTAAAAGTCACAGAAGAAAGTCTAGTTCTAGAAAAAGATCTAACAACTTCAAAATAAAGTGGTATAATTTAGAGAGGTTCCGCAATAAAATGTCAGACTCGATTTTGTTAAAAAGAATTCCGCCTTTTTTCCACTTCAAGAATCCATAGCAACAGCTTCCGGCAACCGCCGTAAATTGATTGGTGAGACTAGCGATTTGAGTGGGATGTGGGAAGGTCCAAGCAATCTCTTCTCCTTTGGTATACAGATGCCCAGAACTCCCAAAACTTTCCTCACCTCATTTGCCAATTCTATTACATAGTCATCTTCATGGCCAATATCAAACATGGCTTTCTCCAATAAAAAGAGGTAGTCTCTGTTATTGCCACAGGGACCAAAGGCCGTTGCAATTTGCCTAATGAGACAAATTAATGTAATTAAAAAATGACACTGCAAGTGTTAAAAGTAAAATAAACAGAGCAAAAACTACATGATCGTCACCTTGCCATGTCTTCCAAAGGGGCAGGGCCTAGGTAGTACTTATTTGAGACAGGGTCAGGGGTGGATGTAAAACTACAAAAACCCAGACAACTCAAGATAAGAACTTCAAACAGATACACATTCGTGCATGAGTGGTTGGTTGAGGTGTGGGATATTTAAGTAAATGGTATTATGGACAAAATGAAAGCAGCTAAAACTTACACTATCACACCAGTTAGGGCTGGTTCCTCAGTGTCTCCTTCCTGAATTTAAAAAATAAATCAATAAATTTTGAGAAAATAAAATCCAAATCACAATGCCCTTGATTTGGTGCAATTAATTACAAGCTATACTTCTTCAGAACGCTCACCTTATAAAAGTCCACAAGAGTTTTCTGATCATACTCGCATTCTCTTCGTTGTAAATACTACACAAGTTTAAGCAGCATGAGCAGAAAAATCCACTGCATTTCCGTGATAAAAGAAATAATAAAACCAAATCATAAACACATACCTCCATTGCTGCTTTTTCCTTCTCCGGTCCTCCTCCGAAGCAATATGCAGCACCCCACTACAAGAAAGAATACAAATGACGTCAAAAAGATGGCAACTGAACAATGTGATTTAAATTCAATTCATTTGACTGACGAATTTCATCTTAAACGGAAATCAACATAAATAATAAACCATTAACTTATCCAAACCTTATATGTGATTAATCAATGAACATTTATAATTTTAGTAATCAGACAAACAATTTATAGCATTTCTTGTTCAATTTTACCCTTCCACAAGCAATCGCTTTTTCCCATTATCAAAAACCACTCAATACTAGAAGAATTAAACAGAAAGCCCACTTACGCAAACAGCCCCTTGTATCTGTTCCAAGGTGCAAGTTCTTGCCGGTCGCTCAGGAGTGCCCCTATGGTCAATGCAAGCTGCCCAAAAAGACCAAAAAAAAAAAAAAAGTTAAGGACAATACTAATAAAATGACAAAATATGTCTTGCAAAAATTAGGAATATGAAGAATTGCTTACCAAGATCGAAAACCCGGCGATAATCCTTGATGAAACCTATTATTTTCTCTTCATATTCGAAACCGGGATTCCAAACCAATGAGCCATATCCAAACAGCCAGAACACCATCTTCTCTAAATTATCGGCTGCAGCAAATTGCACGCCATTTTGTAATATTAGCATACACCGGTACCAAAAAAAAAATTTCAAATCTTAATCAGGTATTCCAACACAGAAACGGAGAAATGCCACCTAAAAAGTGTAAAAACAATTCATTCATTGTACAGCAATTTGTGATTCGAAACTCCAGGAAAACAAAAATCAACGGAATGACCAAATTTTTGCTCAATCGGAAATTCTTCCAAACAGAAAAACGACATCGTTGCAGTCCCAAGAGCGGGACTTCAATACAAAGACAGGCTTACCTAACAACGAATTGAAGGTACCAAGGTAGTAATGCCAACGAAATCAGTGTTGAAGAATTTCACAGTCTTATATAGCCCTTCAAACTTGGATTTTGGATTCCGGATTCGGAAATCAATCAATTAACCAATCAATCAATCAATCAGCCGATAGAGGGAAAAAAGGCGAAATCGAAGGTTTCAGGAAAGGAAAACCCTAGAGAACGAGAGAGCTTTTATGATTTTCTCTTCGAATCGCTGAGTCTTTTTTCTCCCGCTGTCTCTCGTTCTCTCTATGGTTTTCGAGAGAGGGTATCGCCAGGCCAGAGAAGGCAATCTTATAATCGGTGGATCCGGTAAAAGGCCACAAAGAGAAAAAGAAAAAAGAAAAGGAAAAAAAAGGTGATGATAATGTATGTGATATGTAATGACGCATGGATTCATGTAGCATGCCGTGTTTTATGTACACCATACATGATTGCGTACAATTACAATTTACAACCCACGTTCAAATCGGGGGAATTCATGGACAATAACAAAAAAATGGTTATTTTTGCATTCATTGACTTCGTTTACATATAAAATTAATTGCCTATTAAGAATGTATACTAATTGGTAAATAAGTTAAATAAAACGTTGCCTCTACCATTCTACACTGTGCCAAAATTAGGTGGCCAATAGTTACTACTAATTTTACACTGAGTGTGTTTGGATTATGAGTTATTTGCTTAAATATATTTGCTTACATCACCATTACAATTTCCAATACACCTTTTTATCTTCCCAATTATCTTTTTATCTCACATACATCACATCACAAAAAATGCTACAGTAAAAATATCTCAAATAACTTACAATCCAAACTAGGGCACTATTATGTAACCTTGACTAAATTCAGCTAATTTATTTTATGGGATTATGCTAAGAGACTATGAAATTATTAATTTAATTTTTAAAGTCTATATTTTCCCTTATCTCTTGTAGTGTTTGTAATTTGTAGCAAAATTCAAAAGTAAAAAGACCAATACTATTTCATTTAATTTGAGAAATATTAGATTAATAATATTAAGTACTACATGAATGGCTTGCTCTTGATTAATTATTTTCACTGATTATAGACTTTTATTTTAAATAACCAATATTTTGGTATGCTCGTATAATTCTAAATTCAAAATATAGAACTTTTTAACAGTAAAAAAATTTAAATTTATATTTTATCAAAAAATTGTTTTTTTTTCTAATTTTGGTTATTTTATTTAACCATTTTTCATAATTAAATTATGTAAAATCTAAAACAAATGAAAACAATGCGGGAAAAAATCATATATTGGGAATTACTAATACATCATACCATAAAGGACATCATACTTGTGAATAACGTTTTAAAAGTATGCTAAAATTATGTCAACGCGTGTTCGTGTTTTGTTCGGTGCATGATTTCCAAACAGATGCATGTTCATGACCATTTATGATATGCCGACGCCGGGGGCAAGTGCATCGAATCCAGGTTCATTGAACTTGGACGGTTTCTCACTCGGAAATTTAAGTCAACTTCCAGCACTCAGCATGTTAATTTCGCGTAGCATTCAAAGCAGTTGTCGCGTGACTTGACCGGTCTGAGTCTTAATATTGAACCGGCATATAAAAAATAAATGAAACAGATACAATGCACCTAGACGCAATTCAGTTGGCACATTTGCAAATTTAACAATCGCTACCGCAACCGTCGTACGATGTTTTAAGTTTAGGAAATGTTTCATAAACCTCTCTAGAGATTTTGATAATTTCACCTAGCCCCCTCTTGTTTTGAGTATTAGACTTAATCATTAGGGCTAAGCCAAGACGGTTCTTAGAGTTATTCCGTTACAAAATTTAGGATTCGAATATTAAATCTGATAGCTAAGAACAAAAAGACTGTGAAGAAAGATAGGCAGTTAAAAAAAAAAGAAAAGAAAAAATGAGTATTAGATTTACCTCCCTTGTCAATACAAAATAATCATACTAGTTCTACTTTCACCTAAACTTAATTCCAATATCAAATAAACAAGAACTACAGAAAAAGGAAATGAAGCACAAGTTACCTTCTTTTCAGGCTTTTAGTTTATAATCTTTTTTCATGCCGTTTTTTAGGGATCATTTTGTTTCTTTTTGCTTATTTTGGGCTTGGTTTAGGCTTCTTGATATACTTTCAAGCATTCTATGTTCTTATTTAAATCTTTTTCCTAATCAATGAAAAATGTAATTTTTACTTCTAAGAAAAAAGTATGTCAGCAATTTATTTAGTTATTTATTACGTTTTGTTCTTGTTTTTTGGCTGCTAGTTTGTGATTATTGTGGGAGTGATAAAAATGAGAGTAGTGGTATTCTGTTATTAGTGGCAGTATTAGTTCTAACACTTTAATTATCAACATTGTAGTAGTTTCTTTTCTTCTTCTCTTTTTTTTTTTCTGAGCAAATAGTTTTAGATTTTTATTTAAAATCTGTATTATTTATAAGGCTTTCCAACTCAAAAAAACAAAAATAGGGGATATAAGTATAATATTCAAAGCAAGATGGATGCTAAGTGTCATAAGCCTCAGAAGAGGTTTATGAAATTATCACTTAATTTTATCCAGATTTCTACAAGGAAAGAGATAGAAAAAAGATATTATCTTTAACTCTCTAAAAGTTAGTTAAAAATGTGGATTGATACTATTGTTTGGCAATCATAAAAACTAATAAAGATCACTGTATTTCGAAAATGTTAAACACGTAAAAGTTCTTATATGACAAAAATTAGGAATGTACTAATCAGAAGATTGAGAATTCATAAGTATGTAATAAGTTTAAGTAAATTTGTAATTGAAGAATTTACAGCTAATCATCTATTGTTTTGATTATCATATAAAAGCATAATTTACGAGAACAACGCTAACTCTTACTCAGAAAAATAAAAAAGAAAAAGAAATTTTGCACCCAATTGATAGCTCTCTAGCCATTTCCATACGAAAACAATGGAAGATCCTTCATCTACTATCTAAGACGGGGAAATTCATATGTAATAAGTTTTAGTAAATTTGTAATTGAATAGTTTACAACTAATCATCTATTATTTTGATTATCATCTATGAGTCTAATTTACGAGAACGACCCTAACTCTACTCAAAAAAATGCAAAAGAAAAAGAAATTTTGCACCCAATTGATAGCTCTCTAGCCATTTCCATACAAAAACAATGGAAGATCCTTCATCTACAATCTAAGACGAGGTTTGGGCGTAAAATATTAAAGGTTTAGGATGTGTTTTGCAAGCGAAAATGCGGTGGTAGTACCTCGGGTTTTCGCATGATTGGTGGCGCTTCGGCTGTTTTTGCAAATAGACACTAGATAAGCAATCTACATTTTAAGCTCAATATTTTTGTGTAAAATTTGTTGGATTTGAACATATTTTTGCAGGTGGTCTATGGTGGAGTGGCTATGGTATTGGGATACCTTTATGGTAGGAACTTCCTACCGTAGGCAGTTTCTCAAAGCATGACACGTGTATTTATAAAATGAGGAGCTCACGAACCATTATGTTGCAGTGGTAACACGCGTGGAGATAAACCAAACAAGACATGTCCAGATTCAATCTTTTTTCCCCTCCAATTCCTCCGTTCACTGTGCATTGTTTCCGAACTGGTTTATTTCATTTAAAAAATTGTGAAACTATATTTTCTGCACCTAATATACCAAACAATTTAATAAAATTAATAACAACATACCAACAATATATACCCATGACATCAATATACTAAGCAATTATAAAAATTATTAGGATTATATAGTTACTTTAGAAGTTGCTCCCAAACACCGTGCAACTCAATTTTTCATTCAAACTAACGATAGTACGAAAAAAAAGACTAATTAATAAAAATACGATCTCGAAAAATTTTTAATTCACAGTCACAATATATGAAATCGTGATAAATACAAAAAAATATGATACTTTGATCATATAATGAAGGAAAGCTATAAAGAGCAAGCCATTTACAGGAAAAATTTTCATTAATAAAAATACCAACTTTTCACGGCTTGCTTACCAATCCACTAACATATGAGCAAAGTGCCAATAATTAAATTAGTAATTTTTTCGATTTATACATAATTAATTTTTTTTTCCATTTCCACAAAAAATAAATGAGAATTTTTTATCAAAAAGCACAAAAGTCAAAATAATTGGTCTAAAAGGGAAAGGAATAGCAGATATGTACAGTACTTGTATTTCACGTTCGAAATGCTACAGTGCTGTTTTTGAAAAACATCCCAAAAACATCTAATCCAAACGGAATCAATTTTCATTATTTAAAATACCAAATCTGTGAATGTGTTTTAACTGTTATCCATTGGTATTCTAAAGTATCATTTTCCATCAAATACCAGCTCTTTAACACCCATTTTTCTATAAACAAATTTATTTATCGGATAAAATAAAAATATACCCATTTTTCAATAAATAGCTGGTGATTTATTGGAAAATGGATTTATTTTTATTTTATCCGATAAACAAATTTATGAAAAAATGGGTACTCTGTTCTTATAATAGAGGAAAACCATAAAGAGCTGGTGTTTTATGAAAAAATAGGTACTCTGTTCTTATAATATAGAAAATCCATAAAGAACTGGTGTTTTATTGGAAAACGAGTTTATTTTAATTTTATCCGATAAATAAATTTGTTTATGAAAAAATGGGTGTTAAAGAACTAATACTTGATGGAAAATGATACTATAGGATACCAATGGATAATAGTTAAAACACATTCACAGATTTGGTATTTTAAATCACAGTCTTCATTATTTAAAATATCAAATCTGTGAATGTGTTTTAACTGTTATCCATTGGTATCCTAAAGTATCATTTTCCATCAAATACCAGCTCTTTAACACCTATTTTTTCATAAATAAATTTATTTATTAGATAAAATAAAAATAAACTCATTTTTTAATAAAACACCAACTCTTTATGTCTTTTCTCTAGTATAAGAACAGAGTACCCATTTTTTCATAAAACACCAGTTCTTTATGACTTTCCTATATTATAAGAACAGAGTACCCATTTTCCCATAAACAAATTTATTTGTCGAATAAAATAAAAATAAATCCTTTTTTAATAAAACAGCAGCTATTTATTGAAAATAGCTATTTATTGGAAAACGGGTATATTTTTATTTTATCTGATAAATAAATTTATTTATAAAAAAAATGGGTGTTAAATAGCTAGTATTTGATGGGAAAATGATACTTTAGGATATCAATGGATAACAATTAAAACACATCCACAGATTTGGTATTTTAAATGAGGGAAAATCGTTCAAAACGTCTCT